ACTGCACCCCTGGGAGACAGTGAACACTGCACCCCTGGGAGACAGTGAATACTGCACCCCTGGGAGACAGCGAATACTGCACACCTGGGAGACAGTGATAATACACACCTGTGTATCATCCAGAGTAGAAGGAGCTGGGCTGCACCATTCCCACATAGTTATCAAGGCCCTGGAAAAGCCTGTGGGGAATGGTTGATGCATTGCCAGCACTGGCTAGCAAACACAAGAAAAGTTTGATGGCTAGTTTTAGATGGCCTCCACCATCAAGGGGAATCCCAGTGTCCATCTCTTGCACCTTTGTGAATGTGGTAACCACACCCTTACCCTTGAAAGTGCCTTCTCTAATTTTACATTAGTCTGCTAAGTAAGTGGCTGCTACTTCCTATTTATTAATATTGAAATTTCATTTATGGGGGAAACCGAGCTTCTTCCTGCCTCATCCTCCTAAGTTGTTGCAACTTTAGATGCAAGTCATCTTATCCAATGTGGCTGAACCTTTATTTTGTATAAAAGAAAAATGTGAATTTCATAATGTTCATTGAGATGCAAGAAGAAAGTCATGAGCTGGGTACCTGCTCCACATGTTCCAGATGTGGCAGGAAGGGAGGGGCTTACTTCTTCTTGGGGAGATGGAGGACAGTGTGGTTGATGTATAGATTGGGTGTGTCTTCCTTAGTTAACTTGCCAGGTACTAAGAGATGAAAACAACCTTACTGTGCTGCCCTACGGTGATTGGAAGGTCCTGGCACCCTTTTAATACCATATATTTTATATTTTTCCTTTCTAAGCTTGCTGCACTTGCTCAAAATGCTCTTCATGAGACTTAACCAGAGAACAAAGTCTCTGTTGGGCTTTTTTGAGACTTCCTTTGTTAATGCAATTAATATCAAACTCTTTACCTTAGCCTCAGGTAGACTCTTCAGACAAAGGCAAAAAGCAGCCACATTCTTCACCAAAATATCCCCAAAACAGTCTCTAGGCCATGTACTGAAATTCTTCTCCGCTGAAGTCTCTTGGGCCAGGTCTTCACAGTTCAAACAAATTACAGAGAGTGACAAAATTTCCCATATTGCTACTAGGATAGCCCATTAAGCCCCACTTAAAATCTTCCACTGGGGTAACTCTTACCATGTAAGTGAAAAGCTTGTATAATAAGAATCTTGCCGGGGAGTGGTGGTGCACGCCTTTAATTCCAGCACTTGGGAGGCAGAGGCAGGTGGATTTCTGAGTTCGAGGCCAGCCTGGTCTACAGAATGAGTTCCAGGACAGCCAGGGCTACACAGAGAAACCTTGTCTCGAAAAACCAAAAAAAAAAAAAAAAAAAAAAAGAATCTTAAGACAACACCAAAAGAAGGAAGGCTCTCCCATGCTCACAGATTGGTAGAGTAGTGTGAAAATGACCATCCTACTGAAAGCAATCTACAGATTCAATACAATCCCCATCAAAATTCTAACACAATTATTCACAGAAACATAGAAGACAATTTTCAGATTCATATAGAAATGCAAAACCCTGAGGATAGCTAAAACGCCCATAAGTAACAAAAGAACTGCTGGAGGTGTCACCATCCCTGATTTCAAGTTGGACTACAGAGCTATAGTAATCAAAACGGCATGGAACTGGCATAAAAACAGACACACTGATAAATGGAATTGAAGAACCAGATGTAAGTCTCTATA